GTGTGTGTGTGTGTGTGTGTGTGTGTGTGTGTGTGTGAGAGAGAGAGTGTGAGAGAGAGAGATTGTACCTGGCCAGCCAGCCTCGATTAGCCTCACACAGCCACACACGGACTGGATCAGGGTGTGGCCCAGTTTCATCTGTTTTGTGTCTCTCTTGTCCTGTTGTTCAAATTCAAATTTAATAAATTCAGAATTAATTTGCCAGTAACTTTGCTGTTACTGCTTATGCTCCAATGATGTCCTGGTGTATATTATTTATAGTTACTATGTTGATATCCTCTTTTTGCGTTTGTCTAATTGAAGAAGTGCATTTTTCCTCTTGATCTGAACCACTGGTATGAACTCTTGACTAGCAGTGATTTGGAGAGACCCCCACTGAGGGATTCGGTCCAGCACTGACGGCACCCCTCCCAGGTCCCCCGGTCCAGTCAGGTGGTCCGTCTAGTTGTTCACATTGTTTGTTTTCGGGTCCCTCTGTCTGCATTGGGCTCAGATGCTGTTTTTTTCGTTGCGTCAGGCTTACGGTTGGTGTCAGAGGCCCCTGCCTTTCAGCTGGGCCATCTGTTTGTGTCCCCCCCCCCCCCCCCCCCATCTCCTTAATTAATGAAATTAGGGGGGTTCCCTGCTGGGTGGAAACTCTATGCAGACAATTGTACCCTGGCAGATTTTTTTTGTTTTAAACTTGAATAGTTTTTCCTTTTTTATTAAACCACAGTATCGCTGCAACTGAACCCTCTCTCCTCACGTCAGAGCAGACGGCCGGCCTCTTCTTCACGCAGGGTGGGGGGGGTGTTCACTGTTCCGGAAAGTTCTGAAACGCTGCTGCCTGACGTCAAAAACAGCAGTGTTAGAGAAGAGTAAAGACTGCTATCAGTTATTTTCAGGTGTCAGGACACCCGAATAATGTCATTGGGACCCCCCTCCCCATATGCTGACCCCGTGTCTCCCTGTCTGTCATTTTTTCTGAGTAAGTTTTCATCTGGGGACCAGGCTGCTGGCCCTGGGGGCTGCGTTGATAGCATAGATCTACACAGCCAGCTAGCTGTGGTGTTCCACAGCAGGCAGCCTAGTATAGATCTGTTTCTATATCTAGAACTGCACAGTAGATGCCGGCAGTGTAGTTAATGCCAGAGAGATGAAGTGGAACATCTTACTATGATGAGCAGTCTGTGATAGAAGAACTAGTATTTCATAGTGGCTGTGTCCGGCCGTGTTGTGAGCAGGGGCTAACGGAGCCTTTTTAGAAGTGCGCGGTGATGGTTTAGTCCCTCCTGTGCCGCAGCATAAGATTCGGCACGAGCCGTCCTCGCTCGCGTCCCCATGGCGCACGGCCGAGCCGAGGAGGAAATGCCTTCAGTCCTGCCCGGCGCCGCCTAGTTAAATTGCCGCGTCGTTCCGTTTGAGAGGAGAGGAGAGGAAAACAAAACGCCGGCCGGCATCCCCAGAGCGGCCGATCGCCACGGTCAGTTCCCGGGATGCGCGTTCTAGGCCGACAGGCGTTTGTGTCCGCAGGTGCCGTCTGAGGACAGCATCTGCATGTGCCTCTGGGGGGGGGGGCAAAATGGCCCCCACACGAGTGAGCGTGGAGGTCTGCAAGGAAGGTGACAGAAACAAACAGATAAAAACAAACACAACAGGGCCCCGGCTGCGGCTGTTGTCTGGGAGATCGCCATCTGTTCCTACTTTCTGGAAGATCTTTTCTCTCCCTTTTTCACTCTCTCTCTCCATCCACTGTGGTGCTGGTGATATGAATTTTCGATTTAGCCCTTTAGCACAGGGGGTGATGCATGGGGGGGGGGCATAGCTAGGAGAGCCCACCCTGCCACGGAGATTAGTGAGAATGGCCGCCTCGCGTTGACAGATCAGCCTCCATAACCAAAGGGCCGCATGCATGCTTTGGCTGTCTTGTGGGCTCCTAAGGTTATGTTGAAGGTTAGACTGAATTCCTCGCCGCCTTTCCCAAGGTGCGTCTGCGTGGATTAGATACTTTCACCAATATGAAGACGTGAGCCAGAAGATTTTCTAAGGTGACAGAAATCGCTACAGCATCTAATAATTTAAATCTGGTTTTTCCGACAGCGTCAATCTACACACGACATTTGCCGCGACTCTAATGTGTGATTTTGTTTTCCAGCCGCTTGTTTTTCCTTCAGTGTCGAGATCGACGTCTATCTGTAACATTGACTTATGTCGCCTTGTTTAGCGGTTAAGCACAATATGTCTGTAAAGGGACTGTGTTCAGTTTTCTTGCTGCGTAGAATAGTGTAGCATCCTCAGGAGCGGAGACCGCTCCCGTAGGAACTTAATAGCAGGTACTGTCTTGTTTGTTCTGCCAGAATTCATTTTTACAGCATCGTGGGGATTGGTTGGTGGGCTGGTAGGAGTGGGGAGGCAGTGGCCCACTTTACTGCCTTACACATCTGGAATGTGTTGTGTAGCACATGCCACAACAGAGGAAGAGGTGCGAGTCAGCATTTGTATTCAGGCTTCTGATTGGCTCTCACCCGCCTGGCCCGGTCAGGTGGCGTTGTGGTTGGAGTAGAGCTAAGATGGGCAGATAAGTTGGTAAGTTCTTCCCCGGCACCATTCCTGAGCCGTGCGTAAAAATAACGGTGGGGAATTTCCCCAACATAGTCTGCATCCCCCTTTGCATGGGTTTGGGTCAGATGCCCCGTACCCCCAGCAACCTGACCGCAGACCCGCATCAGAAGGGGCGGGTTCTGGGCAGTGCAGCAGGAGTGGCGGCTCGCTTGGTCCTATCGGAGGCCGGTAGCGGATCACAGTGGATCCCTGGGCTCTCCATGCCTGGTCCGTCCCTTTCCATTACATTTGGGCCTCAGGTGGAGCTGACAGCCCCGCTTGTCTCCTCCCCCTGCAGCACCATCTCCGTCTTGCTCTAATCTGAACACAGAGCAGAGGCTGGATAATCACTCGTCTTGGCCTTACGCTACTTATCTAGGCCTTTAGATTAGAATTTTGGAGTGATAAGACAGTAAACAATGCCAAAAGAAGAGGACATTTTTGGGTTATTGATCCTTTTAAATCTGTCTTCATTTGTACAATTACATATTAAAGTAAATTTATTAATTTACTCTGCATTTCATGTCATAATGTGTTTTTATTTTATTATTCATTCTTTTAAAAAGTATTTTTCAACCAAGGAATTCGATTCTGAAGTCCAGTGGCCTGTACTACGAAGTGGGGTTACTGGCTTATCCGGGTAACTTGTCGGATTTAAGGTACCACAGTTTAAATGGACTTATTATTCATTCACTTACATTTTACCCAGACTACCTTAAATCCGACAAGTTACCCCGATAAGACAGTAACCCTGCTTTGTAGTACAGGCCACTGGTTAATTCGAGCCATTGTTTACTTTTTATGCAGCTCTGTAGCTATAGGAAGCAAGCAGTTTTTTTTTGTTATTTTTTCACTTGCCATTGTGCTGTTTAAATTGCAGTATGATTTGATTTCCAGCCAGAGACGGATCTGATGGTAAATGCCTTCTCCTCCATCTGATTTAAGATTAGCTCACCTCAGATTACTCAGATTACCTACCTAACCAGAGTTTGTCGTCAGTGTAACAATAACCCATAAGATTTTCAGTCCCACAAGGTCAATTCAAATTCTTTTTTTGTGTGTGTGCAACTGGAAACAGGAAGACACTTGTCTGCCTTTTGTGAATCCAGATTTTGAGTGTGAATGTATCACATACAGAATTTCAGGGAGCAATGATGTTCTGAAATGAGCAAATGTTCTTTAAACTCTGTTAAGCTTCTTAAGCTCAAGACTAACAGGGGAGATTCATTTGGAGAGCTAGTTGTGATGTGAGCCATTGTATTTCTATGTTTAAATGTTTCACTGATATCACACTTTAGATATCCAGGATTTTAGGATGAAATAGATGTAGATCGCGGCTCAGATTGGCAGGCTGTGGCTTTTGGCCAAGAAGGTGGTTGCGGTTCTCCTGGTCTTTGACTGATTCTGATTCCCCATCCTCTCTTTCTTCATTGCAGATCGACCCAAAGGTGGCGTTTCCCCGGAGAGCTCAGCCCAAGGTGAGTCGGTCAGCTGATCCGTCGCCTTGAGTCCCCCTCATCTCCAGCAGTGTGAACCCTGGCTCCCTAATGAGATGAGGATGCAGGACCCCACATGTCCTGTAGCTGTTGTAATGGGACTGGATTATTTCCACTTCTGACTCCCCTGGTGTAATTCATTGTAATTCAGTTGTAATGGTGTAATTGTCCCACTTCCACACCTACATCATAATGTGCCCAGCTGCTTTCTGTCTGATGGCCATAATCCTGGACAATATCACGGCGTTTGATACAGGTCTGCTGTGTCCTGTGTTCTCTACAGTCACTTAAGCAAAGCATTAACAGAGCTTAGCCATGTCCCTCACTGCCTGTCTGTATTAAACGGCAGAAGCGCTGTCATATCAGTTATACAGTACTGTGCAAAAGTCTTAGGCACTGAAAGAAATTGTTCAAAACTGTGTATCTGGGTTGTAAGTGCATATTTCCTCAAAAAAAGCACAAGTTAGCATTAGAACGCATAAATTAACAGTAACACAAATTGGCAAGAATTTCTTTCCTCCAGTGAGTTGCTGATATTTAGCTCGATAGCTGGATGAACACACGGCTTTGGTTCCCGAACATCTCTTCAGGGGCACCTCAGCCGTTGCATGTAATCGTTAAATTTCTCCACCAGCTCAATTAATTAATTTAACTTCATTTGTTAAATAACTCAATGAGGTATTGATTAGCCAAGCAAGGTGTGCTAATGCTTGAGTCAACAAACTCATGAGCGTATTGGATGGGTGCCGCAAATGCCGGGTCGACTTTAGGAGAGGGTTTGAAATGGCAAAGCTGACACAGACATAAAATCATAGCTTTATACAAACATGAGGATCAATTAAACATAATTTTCTTTGACTGCTTCAGACTTTTGCACAGTACTCTATGTAAAAATAGTCGATCCTTCTGCATCGCAGCTTTCCCCATCGCGGTATCCATGTATGTCGGGGTCTGCATAAACTAAATGGGAAATTAAATGGGATTTTTTTTGAGAGTTTTGTGAAAGCCGCAGACAAACCCACAGATAGTTTACTAACTCATCAATGCATAAATTACTATAAATGCATAATGCTGGTTTGGAGGATGCCAAGCGTGTTTACGGCAGCCTCTCACTTCATATCTCGCAGTGATCTGTGCATCTTGAACTTCTCATATCTTGCCGTATGATTTCAATGCCCTAAACTGCTAAAATCCAAAACTCTTTGCTTAGCTCTATCTGCATGCTCGCTTGCCTCCCCAAGGGGACCAAAAATTTTTACGCGGTTTTTCCAGATCGCGGGGGGGGAACTGCACCTCTAACCCCTGTGGTGTGGAAGGGTCGACTGTGGTATAAAGTTCACTTTCATGATGGTGTCCTCACGTGTTCCTCCACACCCCTGTGGAGATGGTATGCTGGGTGTGTACTCCGGAGGGCTATTTCCACACCGGATTGCGAAGGTCGGGGATTATTGGGGGGGGAGCTGTTCTCAGCACTGCTGGGGCCCTTGTGAGGTGGAGACTTGCAAAATGCACGTCAAAGTGACCCAGCATCTGTCTCACTCCTCTCCCCCTCTTCCCCGCCCCCCCCCCTTCCCCATCTGGGCCCTTCAGATGGTAACCCGAACCAAGAAGATCTTCGTGGGGGGACTGTCCGTAAACACCACCATCGAGGACGTGAAGCAGTATTTCGACCAGTTCGGAAAGGTAAAAGGAGGGCATGTTGGTCCTCAGGAGACATTTTCACATGGTTTTTCTTTTTTCTTTTTTCTTTTTTTTGGTGTAAACATTCTGCTGAATTTCACGCTTAACTACTTGTACGTGTGTGGTCTTCATTTCCTGCTGAACCTGTAAAAGGCGCCAGGGAGCTGAATTGTTGGTTAAATGGAGCCTGGCCGTCAGTGTCAGCAGCAAAGCAGACCGTGTACGGTTATGTAACGCTCCGCGGCCCTGGGGTCTGGGAAGGTGTGAAGGGAGCGAGCATGATGAGCATCGCAGGGAACATTAACGCGTCGCTGACGTAGGGTTTCACTAGAAAGTGGCACTTTTTGGGACTTATGATTTTGGTCACTGGGAAGTCTTTGTACTTGGTGTTGCTTGGAGGATACTGTTGCTGACATTCGGTACGTTTGACTGTGAAATTAGCGTGGTGGTACAATTTTCTTGGTAAATTGTTTAGTTTCATGTTTCATTCCAAACGTTTCTGGATACAGTGACACTGTAGGCACCCCTCCCCAGAACAAAAATGCCCAGGATACCTCCTACAGAAGTGTATTCTGTGAGGAAACACGGTGGGGGTTACTAATGGATATAAACTGATACATGGCTATTTGGGGGGGGGGGGGGGGGTTGGTCATGCTGCTCGGGGCGATGAAGATGTAGCTCTCATGGGGAGGTAGGCTTTGCTTTTCAACAGAAGTGTGGCACTTTCCTCTCCAGTCCTCTGCAGTGCCACAGTGGAGAGTGATTTAAGTTCGTTAGTAGCTTTTTTTTTTTTTTTTTGACGTCAATCAGTGTGCTCTAAATTGATAAGGGGGCGGAGACTGAATCTTGGAAGAACAGGCGAGAAACTAAGGGAGGGAGGCTGGGAAAGACGGCATAATAAGGCATTCGTGCTGTTGTGTGTTGGGGGGCAGAAAATGTGATTGGGAGGGAGATTTCTCTGAGGGAAAGAGGGAGTGAAAAAGGCGGCGGATTTGGGCAGATGCAAATATTGAGTGTTAGACAAGGGAGATGGAAGAGTTTAGATGGAGAAGAGGGAGGGACAGAGAGAAGGGTGGAAGAGATGAGCAAAGTTGGGAATTGAATCAGCGATGGGGTGGCGGGGGGGGGACGACCGGGAGCATGGGGAAGCCTGTGGTTGCCTGGAGAGTGGTTGCTAGGAGAGGGAGAGAGGGGGGGAAAGTTTCACAGGAGTATGGAAGGTGGTGAAGAGAGGGGGAGGGGATTATCAGAATCTGAACTAATCTGATGTAACAGCTGCTCCAGCTCTACCAGCTCTCTGTGCGCCACACACACACACACATACACACACACAGACACTTGCCCTCTACCCCCTGTCAACCTGTTGCTGTGGTGACCCAATGTCCCTATTGTCCATATGTAATTCTTTGGCAGGGTGTGTGTGTGTGTGTGTGTGTGTGTGTGTGAACAGTATCGTGTGGGGGGTTGCCTCTAACGACAGAACCGGCCGCCATGTGGTTTAGCCCGCGGATCAAACTCGCCGTCCTGTCTGCGAGAATCTGCCCCGCAAGGGTCCCTGTTGACTCTCAAAGCGCAAAGCGAAGGGACTCGGCCCTGTGTTTGTGAAGCTGAGGACTGAAGTTCCTGGCCGAGTTCGTGGAGGGCGGGGCAGCAGTAGGAGGTCCTCCGACCGACTAAGGGAGAGCAAAGCGATGGGGAGGAGGATGGGCGGGATGGAGAGCCTGGCAGGGAGTGGGAGCAGAGAGGAGGGAACAAGATGGAGGACTGGGCTCTCCAGCTGCTCCTTCGATGTCACAAAAGGCATCTTCACAATGAAGTTAGGAAATTAAAGACCGTACAGCATCCCTGGCTCTCCAACAGCCAGCAAGTAATGGTTATTTCCATTCTTGTTTTCAGACAGAATTTACTGTCCATTTAGTCTGATCTGTATTTGACTGTTGTTTGTTGACATACGTTTGACTCTGTACTTTTTCTAGCCTGATTTCTTGTGCAAAGTTTGAAGCTAAAGTGTTCTGGAACTTTCTGGATAAACTTTTGAGCCATTTGGCAATTCGCCTTGTGACTGTAAATGCGCCACTTTTTGTAGAAGAGGTGTTATTATTGTGCAGTAGATTCTTTTGTTGTTTTAATGTTATCATTTAGTCTAGATGATTGTTTCCAAATCATCTAAATTCATGCAGCCGTGCATGTACATTTTTTTTTAATCTTTACATTTTGTGGCATTTACCCAGAGGGGTACAGCTTCAGGGGCCGTAGCAAAGGTCTTCTTTCAGGTGACTCAATCGTTTTTTTGTCATCCCATCTCCCGGAGAGCCGTGTTTCAATGTGGCCAGTGACGGCCCTCTTCCCGTGGGGCTTTAAACAAGGCCTCCGTTCTCACAATACAGAGACAGGAGCTGAACCCCCCTCCCGCTTCACCCCAAGCAGTCATTGTTTTCTAGCCCAACGTGAAGGAACGGCCAACCAATGGCGCGCTGAGCGTGGCATGTGGCCTTGGGGCGCTGGCCAATGCCTTCGCAAGCCTCTGAGAACCACCAACTGCTGCCATTTCCTCGGGGGCTCGGGGCAACTTGTGGACGGCAGAAGGCGGCACTGGGTGAAAGTCCACCACAGGACGCTGTGGTTGAACCCTCACGGCAGGTGAACAACAAAGCTCATTTTCTCCTGGGAATGAGGAGCCCGATGCGGCCTCAGGAATCAGGGACAGCCCAATGTAAAATGGGAACTTTGCATGTCACCTAGGACAAGCGCATCTGCTAAGCAAATGCTCACCTGATGTTTTTTCCACCACGACCTGTAGCTAATTCACTCTCAGCCTTGTTTTTCTTGCCCTCAGTGCTAAAGAAATAGATCTAGTGGTTCATATGCTCATGTGCTAAACTATTGTGCTATTGGTGGAAACTCCTCTCCGGAGAAGCTCTTATAGGTCAGGTTATGTTTGTGCAAATGTCGCATGCTGGTGAATTCTGGGTGACTGCTCTCTGAAGGTTGCCTGGGGAATCCCTTGAAAGCTGGAAGGAGAATTGAGATCTGTAGAAAATCACGTTCTGCTGAACTTGGTGGAGATTGTCTAGATGTGCTTAAGAAATACCTGCTTACCTTTTAAGCAACTGTTTTATCTTGGATTTTTATGCCAGCATTATGGACTTGAAGATACTCTTAAGACACGAGACTGGATTCATGGCCCCTTTAAGATTTTTTAGTTACTTGGACCGGCGCTGACAAATCTTTCCAAAATCCCCAATGTGATGTATATGCCATAGGGGTGGCCTCATCCAACCACCGTCAGCATTGTCGAGAGAATGGTCTGGGGCTCCCCCAGGTCTTTTCTGCCAAAATTTCTGTGCTACCGTCGCCCCCCACCTCCCACCCTGCTGGCACACCGTCGCCCCACCGATTCCTCAGGCAGACTGGCGGCGGGATCGTAAGCCCCGGGGCAGTGGGAACGGGGGTTCGGTCTGACTGGCTGGTGAGGCACCATGGAAACGGCCCCCCTTTCTGGGACCCTATCCCTCCCAACCCAACCCCCCCCCCATCATTGAGGTGCTGTGGCTCTTTCAGCTGCCCGAAATGGAGCTAATCCAGGTGCGGTACAGTACAGCCCTGATGAGCGAGAAAGCGAGGGAGATAGAGCGAGAGAGGAACGGACGCATGACTTTCAGCTTCAGCCAGGCGTGGACTCCCTATTAAGGAGACTCACTGGAGTCTTTGTCTGCTGTCCTGTTTAGAATGAGAGAACAATGAAGAGAGGAAGAAGGGAGAATTAAAGATGATGACGGAGAGCGAGGCTGAGTCACTTATGAGCAGATGTATTTGAGCTATTCGCCCAGCTGCTCCGAGGTTGAAGAAGCTGTGATTCAAGTGTCTCCTGTCAAGGCCAAGCAGGCCAGCAAGGTCAAGGCAGTGTAGCGATGCCTTGAAGGCAGACATTGAGGTTGCGGGTGGATGATGCCACCTGTTGGTTTCAGAGGCGGGTTCGGTTGCGTTCATGACCTGACTGGAAGGGCAGCAATGTGCCAACGTGGACCTGGGGGTCCGAACATAACCAGCTCAACAGGTTCTTGCCTTGTCATTTGGAGACGATGACTGTGAGTGTGGACGTGTGTGAGAGATGAAGATTAATGTGAAAGCAGAGTTTGTTTGTGGCTTGCAAGTTTTTCCCAGCGACCACATGGAATTTTTATCCATTCTTCCCTCTACGGTTCAGCAGTGCAGTCTAACCGCCTCCTTTCAGAGTTCATTAGCAAACGTGTCCTGGAACTTGACCCCTTTAACCTTTAGGGTCCGATCTATGCACTTGGTTGCCATGGTGCTTGTGGCCATTTTGTTTTTTTAGGCTTTGGAAAGCACAATATGTTGGGGTATTAATTCCGTGGGCACTGAAAGGATGGGCGGCAGGAAGGAGACAGACCGGAGGTGTGAGCGGGAAAAGCGCCGTTCCTCCTTCTCCATCCCGTTTCTTCATCCTTCCTTCTTGGCCGTTCCCTGCCGGCGCCGTATCTCCTAACCGACTCTCGCTTTTCTCCCTCCCCATAAAAACTGCCCCCTTTGCAGTCCCAGTACCCCCAGGCGTCTCCCTGCGCTCCGCTGTCCTGCCCTCCCCATCCCTCCCTCCTGCCTCGCTCTGTCTCTCTTTGTCTTTCTTTCCCCCTCTCTTTCTCTTTGTCTCTCGCTCTCTCGTGTCCTATTCATGAAGGGAGAAGGAGGAAAACGCTCCTAATTGAAATTCTTTGCACGGTATCCATGGGAACGGTAAACTTGGTGGAAAGTGGAAGAGAGGGCGGCGAGTTTGTGAAAAGATTACCCCAGCCCCCGTCCCCCCCATGCCCTGCTAGCGAGAGGGGGACGGAGAGGAAGAAAGACATTCAGGTCTGTTTAACTTTCCGCAGCGCTGAGATGAAGCGCGGCCTGTTAGTTTCGGCCATCTTAATTCCATGTTTCTCTCCCCCTCGTGGCCTCCCTGCTTCTCTCCTTCCCTCCCCTTCAGTTTTCTCTGCCTACCCCCCCACCTTCCCTCTTAGATGTGTCTCTCCTCTCTGTCTCCATCTGTCGCACCCCACCACCACCCTGACCCCCCTGGTAAAGAGGAGGTGACCACGGCAGGACAATGCAGCATGGAGTCACGTAACAAAATGAGCCCCATCTTCTAACTCTGACTCTCTCTCTCTCTCTCTCCTTTCGTTCTCTCCTGCCCCCCGCAGGTTGACGACGCCATGCTCATGTTTGACAAAACCACCAACAGACACCGAGGTGAGTCTGCACGACCCCCTCCTCCTCCACTCCACCCCTTACCGACCCCCCCCCCCCCCCGCCCAATGTGAGAGACTCTGTCCCAGACTAGAGCGGGGCCCAAGGAACTGAGCTGCCCCTTCATGAATCTGACTTACGGGGCTGTTTTCAGAGGGGGGTGTGACACCATGCCGGACGGCCCACTTGCGGAGGAGTTTTGTGGTCTCAGTTCTCAGTGTCATGACGAGATGGCAGCCCAGGGACCCCCCCTGCATGTTTTTACAGTATCCCAAGCCCTGATAAAAACTGTTTTGATTATTTCTAGAGCATACATTACTTAAAACAATTTCACATACTGCCTTTGCGTAACACATACGAAAAACTTAACTTAAAAACTTAAAAAAATTGAATGATTAAGAGAATAAAAGCTTTCCTTTACTGCTTATGCTCTTGATATGTAGCGTTATGCCCCCCCCACGCAGGACCTGACCTTCCACCTCCATCCCCTGTCCCTTGTCCCTCCCCCCGGTCTTATGTCCCTGGACAAGCAGGGGCTGCTGAGGTGAGGGAATCGGAATGAGGCCACGCTAATTAGCGAGCCAGCTAATCGGGGCTCAGGATAAACCCTCCCTAAGCCTCCCGAGTTCAGCCCCGCCCCCACTCCACCCCCACCCCCCTGGCCTGTTCGGTTACTGAGCGATCGATCGTGACACCCAAGCCTGCATTGGCTAAATCCCACAGTCCAGAGGATGTTGGGGATGGGGGGGGAAAAGGAGGCCAGCAGGGACTAAGAAAGAAGGGGGTGGGGCCACAGGGGGGCGGGGGGCTACAGGACAGGTGCGTTGGGCAGGGATCCCAGGACTGCAGGGCAAGCCTTCATAGACCAGCGACCTAGTTAGCATTTTTCTGTCTAGGTTGTTCATTTATTACATTCAAAATCATTAACAAGCGTGCCATTCAGGAATGCAGCCCAGTGGGGGAGACAGCCTGCTACCGTACCGGCTCAAATCCACATTAAGCTTTTTGGGTGTTTGGACACATAGAAGAACAGCAGGATACAAAAGCAGAAACAGATCATCCTGCTTCAGACCGAATCGCATCTCCAACCGTACCCCATCCTGTCTGACCTCGACCTCCCCCCGTACCGGGTGCTGCCTTCCAGCCCCGGCTGCCTGATCCGGCCTCTTCCATAGCCCTGCTCTCCTATGCCCTGTTCTCGCCTATCCTGTCCTCATCCGGGTCTTCTATGCCCCTTGGATGGTGTAGGAGGGTCACATGGCTGCGCCTCGAGGTTCACCCGTGCTTCTTCGCACTTTAGGGTTTGGATTTGTGACCTTCGAGAACGAGGACGTGGTGGAGAAAGTGTGCGAGATCCATTTCCACGAGATCAACAACAAGATGGTGGGTTCAGGTGCCTCTGTACGGTGGTGTCAAGGTTCTCGTGTTCTGGTGAATGTAGTGGTGTGTGTGTGTGTGTTTGATATTATTATATCATGGGGACCAGATTAACCCCACAATGTGATAAAACCTGTAACTTTTTACCTAGTGGGGACACAAGGATAACCTGAACTTTATAAAAATTTGTGAATGCAATCAAAAAAACTGAAAAAAAGTTGAATATTTTGTTTGGTTACTCGTGGTTAAGGTTAAGACTGGGTAGGACTGGGATTAGGGTTATGATCATAGAAATGAATGGAGAGTCCCCATAAAGATATGAATACATAGACATACATGCATGTGTGTGTGTGTATGTGTATGTATGTTTTTGTATGTGTGGGGGGGGGGGAGCGGGGGTAGTTCCTAATGCTCTTGTCCTAAATGTCAGTGCTGTATTTGTGTTTATGGTTCAAATGGAGACACCAAAGCATTTCCCTTCCATTTAGGTGGAATGTAAGAAGGCCCAGCCAAAGGAAGTGATGTCACCGACAGGCTCGGCGAGGAGCCGCTCCAGGGTGATGCCCTATGGCATGGACGCCTTCATGCTGGGGATTGGCATGCTGGGTGAGATGTGCCTCTCGCACGCTCCCAGAATCCTCCACGGCATCCTCACATTTCACCTGCTCACTGGAGGACCTAGTCTGTAGGGATAGCCAGCCTGACTGAGCACGCCCAGTCAGTATTTACAGCTGCGCCGGGGAGCATCATAATTGCCTGGCAACTGCGCGGGTCTTCTGCTATTTCTGTTATTGGGATGAGCTCATCTTGAGACTCCTGAAACGGGGCAGCTGCCTTGCAGTTCTGAAGATCCCCCTGCCCATTTCTCAGTATTGCGAGGGGTTCGGCGCGCCAGTAGCAATTAATGAAGCCGGTCATGGTGAGGAACTCCGCAGTTGCCATCTGCTGGTTGGTGTCAGGAACTGCAGTTCTCTCAAAACCATTCGACCAAGAGCTACTGAGAAACCCACTAAGACTCGAGACCTTCTAACCCTCGGACATAAACCGTTACCTCGCATTTATCAAACACTGGAGTGCCTTTTGACAAATTTGTACTGCATGTGATCTGTCTTTGTGTTGCACTGCGAAATAAATAAGGTTCTCAGCTTCTCCACAGCTGTGCTGGTTCAATGTTAATTTTTTGCACTTTGAGCCCTGGGTTTGGGCCTCCTTGATCTGACCTGATGCTAACGCTGATGTGTCTTCTGTTCCCTACAGGTTACCCAGGGTTCCAAGCGGCCACTTACGCCAGCCGCGGCTACACAGGCATCACCCCCGGGTACACCTATCAGTTTCCAGGTGAGTGTCCACCCCGCCAACCTCTGTCATCTTCAGAGGACACCGCCGATCCTCACAGAATGTTTTGCTGGTCTTTAACCTGCAGGAACACGTACAGGTCAGGGGCCAGATGATGAAAAATGCCAGCTTAACAAGTGAAGTTGGTTGAGACAGGGTCTTGTGATCTGGTGGTTTCACAATGAACAGGAAAAGATACATTTCTTTGTGGCGTAATCCTTCATTTTTGTGTCTGGCCATGTCTCCCTCTTACCCAAAACGCATTGCAAAGAGATTTGGGTAGATCTATGCAGTGGAAGTTCATTTCCCATACGACGGTCGTCGAGTGGGACAGAAATGGACATTTAACATTTAGCTCAGCAATACAGGGTGTTTTTGGTACAGGTCAGAAAGGCAATAAGTTGTGATTGGAGTATGATTGAATGAAATTCAGTTGTGTTGGAGAAAAAAGATACTAAATATAGATCTTCTACAATTTTTAAAAAAAAAAAAGTTTATAATGGACGACCCATGTCTTAATGCTTTTAGTCAGTTAGACCAACTAGCTCTCTTAAAAGCAACAAGCATGTGTCCTGAACACAGGCATGCATTTTGCCTAGTGGGGGGTGTGGTTGTAGGAAGGACTTGTTAGCATAGATATCAGTGTTAAGCTGTTGACATTCTGCCCCCCCCCCCCCGGTGTGGACTGTGCCATCGTGCATGGGGGGTCGCAGGATAGGGGGTTTACAGAGGCACCCCCACAGTGTGCTGTGCCCCCAAAGTGACCCCGGCCGCTTGCATGTTTCACCCTACTGCCACGTGGGTGGAGTCATCCTGTGGAGGAGGGACATGCCCCCCCCCAACCCCAAAAAAGGAGAGTGCAGCTGGTCTCCCTTGTCAGGTTGTTAACGGGAAGTTCTGAAGAACCCATTTTAAATGGGTCCAGTTTCTCCTGATGCAAAGGGCCCAACAGCTTGGAAGCAGTTTGAAACTTAAAACCCGGCGGCCTCAGCTCTCTTCCTGTCCTGCATCAGGTGACCCCAGGCATGGCTTAGCAGATGACGCACGTGTGCACACACACGTACATACCCCCCTGGCTGCTTGTAAATTTCAGGGAGTGGAGGATTGGTGCCGTGTCCCTGTCTTGTATGCGCTCTGTGGGTTGTACGCGCCCGTGTGTGTGTATCGGTGGGTGGGTGGGTGTGTGTGTCGGTGGGTGTGGTGTATCATTGTGCAGCTGACAGAAGGTCTAATCCATTATTTTCAGCAACCATCCTTCACAATGTATCATTTGCTTTTCTGTCACTTCTGGCC